CCTTCCTTCATCCCAGCTAACAACAGCTGTCCAAACTTGCCTGAGCAAAAGGGCAGAGTCACCCCAAGTGCCCTCTCAGGTTTTCTCCACCACTCAGGGCTGCAGAATCACAGTCAGGATGCTGACATGCTGCATCCCATGGCCACATGCCCTGCACAACCGTGCTGGGATGTCTGTTTCTAGACCATTGCTGGAGATTGCCTTTTGTTCCTTGCAATTTCTATGTCATTTATAAATTGAAATATGTACTTTCTTGATGCAGCTTTGTAGAAAATAAGAATCTTCTAACACCAGTCAGAACGAATCTTAGTGTCAGTTTGTTGCAAGGGGTTGTACTCGAGACTAACCCTGGAGATCAGTCAGAACCTGCTGTCATTGCCACCAAACGTAGCTACCAGCCTGCTGGGCAAGGAGGATGGTGATGAGGCAAAGGAGACCATCACACCAGCTCTCTGGAGACTGCACTGACTTCTTATGCACTTCCAGATGCAGGATGGATGGCTCATGTGGATTGATAACGCCCCTTTGGATGTCAGCACTGCCTGAACATGGTCTGTCTGCCTGGTGGTGCAGGTCAGTGGAGTGATCTTGCAAACAGCAGATCTGAGTAACCAGCATCCTTCCCATGACTGGTCTTAGCATCCCTTTCCAGAGAAGGGCCACGAAGATGATCCTTGGGCTGGAGCAGCTCTGCTCTGGAGACAGGCTGGGAGAGTTGGGGTGTTCAGCCTGGAGAAGAGAAGGCTCCAGGGAGACCTTAGAGCACCTTCCAGGGCCTGAAGGGGCTCCAGGAAACCTTGGGAGGGGCTTGGGACAAGGGCAGGGAGGGAGAGGACAAGGGGGAATGGATGAAAACTGGAGGAGGGAGATTGAGGTGAGACATGAGGAGGGAATTGTGGAGTGTGAGGGTGGTGAGAGCCTGGCCCAGGTTGCCCAGGGAAGCTGTGGCTGCCCCATCCCTGGCAGTGTTGAAGGGCAGGTTGGATGGGGCTTGGAGCAGCCTGGGCTGGTGGGAGGTGTCCCTGCCCATGCAGGGGGTTGGGACTGGATGGGCTTTAAGGTCCCTTCCAACCCAAACCATTCTATGATTGTGTGATCCCCTGCTCATGTGCCATAACCTGAGTCTCTAGACAGCCCATGCTCAAGTCAGCCTCTTCCAGGTATAATTTTGGGGCACACCTCAGAGAGAGTGCCTTTATTGGAGCTGTTTACATTTGGCCAGGTAGCAGCCTAATGTTTTCCAGGATTATATAAGCAAATGTTAATCTAATATTTCATCTGACTAAAACAGAGAGCTAAACAGCTTGGAGACAAAATTTTAGTCAGACTGCTCAGACTATTTGGTTTTCCAAAGAAAAAACACACTTTAATGTAAAATGACTGTGAGGGAAAAAGAGGTAATTTTGTTACCTATTCAAGATTTCAGCCTGTTTCTTTGAAGCATGAAAGCAGATAGGCTGCTGTTCAAAGTTTGCCAGCATGCTCAGGGAAGCTGACTGTTGCCAGATTACTTATGATCAGCACTCTTTACTCCTTCTCTAGGTGGTAGCTGCTTCTGACATAAAGAATCACACCACCTGTCTCCCTGGAAATCCTGTTTTCCTTGGCTTCCTGACTCTGTCTTCCCCCAACCACCTTGCAGTCCCTCCTGTTTCTCCCTTCAGGCTTCTGGGAGCATCCCCTGTGCTCTGCTCTTTTTCTCCCTCTTGTCCCTATAGAATCTTACCTGCAAAAATTATTCAACTAATAATTCATTTTGACTGTTTCTTGGAACAGCTTATCCTCTCCAGACCAGTGCTGTCCTGCCCAAATGAAAACCTCAGCCTTTCTCTCTGACACTTCTTTAGTAGTGCTGACCCTTCAGTTCAAGATCAATATGGAAAGAATTAAAGTCTTCATAATTTCTCTCTAAGTGCTCACTCCACATTATTTGCTCAGTAACAGTGGACTGCACTGTCATCTTTTCTGTCCTTCAGGTTCATGATTTAGTGATTATTTTCATCTTTGTGCAGTCTTTTTTTGAGCCATATTTAAATCTTGTAGATTTTTTTCTCCTGTACAGTATCTAAAAGCTCAAACCAGCACTGAGGCTGCAGGACAGGCCCTGGGAAAATCCCAGACTGGGCTCCTGGAGTCAGCAGCAGATGGGAGCTGGATGCAGGGATTCAGGAATGCATGGATCAGGATCAACAGGCAGATGAATGGACAGAGTCCTCTCAGGACACCTGCCATGCACGAAGAGAACTTGACCCTCGTGATCCCTCAGGTTTGTACTGGTATGATGTGTTTGGGATAAAACACTTCATCTGGTCAGTTTTGGGTCACCTGTCACAGGTGTGACCTTTTTCCTCCCTTTTGTTTCCAGCACATAAGGAGCTGAGCAGAACCAAGCAGTGACCTTGGTTTCTATCAGAGTAAGTATAAGCAAGAGCCTGTCTGCATACCATTCTCCAGCAGTAACTATAAACACCCAGCCTTATCAGTCCTAGAAGCAGACACTGACTGAAAAACATGCTGTTCATTTCAGGAAGTGCAGCCACTTAGAAGAGACCTAACTGAAAAATAAAGTTACTGAAAAGAAAATCAGTTCTGTCTCGACTCAACCCATCCACCCACAAAGCCTGGACTCACCCCCATTCTCCTATGAGTGTCCCTTCAAAATGTGCTGCAAAGATCCCTTTCTCTGCCCTGAATTTTAACCTTGAAGCTTTCTCTGGGATTCTCTGTGTCTCCCTTCTATTCCCTTCCTTCATGCATTAACTCAATGAAATGCAAGCTGCTGTAACTGTTCTTGTGGCAGGTCAGTCTTTCACCCTGTGTCCCTTCTGTGTTAAAAATGTTGAATTCCAGCTTCAGCAACTAATGAGGTGAGTCTTTTTCATTTGCCTGCTCAACTGAAAGCAGCACCTTTCTGCTGCTTCCAAAGTCATCCCCTGTGCTCATGAGTAGCTCTGAGAAAACATCCCCAGAGTTACTCTTGTCTGGCTTTGTATCACTCTGAAGTTTTCTGCTTTGATGTAGTGCCCACAAAATGGTATCAAAGTGCAGTGCCAAGACCACTGCCTGGCAGGCTGGCTCTCCAGCCTCCTTTGTACTCCCTTTTCTACTTGTATTCACCAGTTGTTTCTTGCCAGGCTCTTTGGGGTGATCCTGACTAGGGCACCTACGCCCTAAGATAAAACAAAACAATTACTACTGATGCTTATTGCAAGTGGCACAAAGGTTGTGGTTCTCCCTCCCAAACTTGGCTTTCTAAAACAAGGGTGAGACAAATATGCTCATCTGCTCAGAAGTCATGGTAATCTAGCACTCATTACTGATCGTGGGATAAAGTCAGAGGAGGCAGAGAGGATGCATTCTGATCCCCTGTGCAAGTCAAACACTGATATATATGGTGAATTAATAAATTAAAAACCCAAAGATGGAATTTCCTTATAAAACCTCTTCTCTGCATGTGACCCTGAGCGACACATCTAAACACAGGATCACACATGGTAGGTGGACAGGCAAAGAACAGAAGGCAGTTGACTTGGCCAAGGGTCCCCTGTGTCCACTTAACAACTGTTGCAGTAATTTGTTTTCCTACTTCATAGTTCCATCTCCTCCTGCTTATTTGATGTCATAAAAACCCAGGCACTGTAGCAGTTTGCACAGTGCATGTTATAGCCTTGTGTTCCTGTACCACAAATTCAGCATTCTGGATTCATCCATGACTCAGACTGGAGGAGAAAATAGCTTGGGATGGCACAAGCCCTTGATTAAAGCTTTAGGGCCAAATCAACAACAGCTGAGGATCCAGCCCATATGGCCCCAGATTTTTAGCTGTGTAAAGGCTGCAGGAATGGGCCCAAATAGCTTTGGTAATTAGCAAATACCATATAAAATAGATGAAAAGTCTTTGGCAGGGAATGCATATGGAGCAACATCAGAAAATTATTCATAGCATGTTCATATACTTCTTTAGAGATAAAAATTGATGGCATCATAATAATTGGGGAGGGGCAACTGTATTCTCTCTCATGACTGTCAACAGGCAAACACTTTCTTGGACAGATCTGTATTCAACAAAGGGCAGAAGTGACCATCTAACATGTGGAACCTGATGCCACAAGCTGTTCTGCCTCTGAAGAAGTGTCCTCACACCTGCTGGGGCCCCTTTAGCCAGGCTGCCTCCCTGCAGGCCCAGAGCTGCCATGGGTCAGTCTTGCAGGTCCATCTCCCTGGACCCCTTCCAGCCTCAGCCACCCAAGAGCACCCAGAATGACACTCAGGGACACCCAGGGAAGCAGGACAGAGCCTGCTGCTCTCTGAGTTCACCAATTACTGTGCTGCATCCAGCAGGAAACACTAACACAGCCATTAATCACCCTGGTGTAGCCCTAAGAGCTCCTCTCACAGATCATGGTGCCATGTAGCATAAATCAGTTTTCATGCAAACTGGGAGGAATGACATGTTATAAAATCACTCCTGACAAAAATCTCATGAAAATGTAAAACATCTGGGTGCAGTTCCCTGGACAGAGTCAAGATCCTATGAAACCCTCAGGAGACAATGGTCAGGGACTTCAATGAGAATCAAGAGACAGTTTTCCCAGGATGAGCTTGTTGAGCTGGTTTAAAGACATGAGATTGATTTGATGGCTTCGTCTGTTTCACCATTTCATTTGTGGAGCCTATTTTTAATTTAATCATCTTCCATTAATTTATTTAAAGGCTTTATTCGTCAAAACAAAACCTTTTTTATCCTAAAAGCAGATGTTGTTGAAGTGCTGAGAACACAATCCAGCACAGTGTCACAGGCAGCACAAGTTTGTTGTCATTGTGTTGGCAGCAGTTTTTCAAGAATATTATCAAATAAAGTTACTCTCTCACTCAAAGTTCTCTTGACCAGTTTTCTTTTAAATTTTGAAATCAGCCTTCTCACAAAGGCACCATGATCTAAAAACCTCAGGACACGTGTCAATGACAGTAACCATTTTTAAAAGTTCATTAGGATTTACCTGCTGGTGGCTTTATGAAAGGTGGTGGAATTAATGGGACAATAATAGGTACATTCCCGTGATCCTTCGACCCTGCTGGTGAGTCTGAAAGTCCATTTCCTGTGGCAAGCCCTGGGTAGCTTGGGTTGATATTGTATGGTGAAATAACACTGTCCTCAGGTAATTTTGGTTTTGGCAAAGAATTTTCTGTAAAACACAAAGCACACATTGTACAGAACGATACATGTATTTCTTAAATGCCCCTACACACTTTCACCAAGCTGTTCATTAAATCACCCTAATACAAGAAGAGGGCACAAAAAAACCCACAATCAGGTATTTTTCCTTTTAAAAAATGGATTCTTATAAAAATCAATCAAGCTCACACTTTCCTTTTTTTCCCTAAAGGTGGGATTATTTTGCCAAGCATCATTTTAGTCTGTCTGATTAAATCAAGGATATCCTATTCCTGTCCTTTGCTTCTACTGTTTGCATGGTGATCACTCTCAGCATACTGGGACTTCACTAATGCAAGAAGCATAAACTGAAAAATGCAAGGATTCTTAATTCTCTATCAATAATATGAGTAGAAATAATTGAAAGGATTTAAAGAAAGGCACGAAATACTGAAATTACAGCAAAGTGTGCATGAAATTATTATACCAAATCTTTAATTCCCAGTCACCTCAGGATTTTTTTTGGTAGGAATGTCTCTAATCCACCTCATTTAGCCATGGGGCTAACTTCTTATTATTCTTATTATTCCCTCTCCTCCCATCTCTCAGAGAAAGAAACACACTCTGTTCCTCCCCCCCATAGACTGCACACACCAAAAATTTCTACCCAGCACAGACATTCAACATCTCTGTTTGGTACATAAAACATTATTTGTCTTATGTATCCATAAAACATGACCTGTATCATGAGTCCATAAAAAAAAGGATATCACAGATTTCATCAGGCATAGACTGGAGCCACAAATCATTCAATAAAAGATCTGCTTATTAAAACATAAATAAACGAATCGTATCACTACACAGGAACAGGTTTCTTCAGAGGTTGCTTCAAGACAATGCATTTCCAATTAAAAATAAATATTGATCAACAACGTCACTATAGAACTAACAAGCTGCAAACATTGCATTTTAACATGATTAGGTTGTTTCACCTCACCTCTGTTTTTTCCACCTTTTTTCCAGCCATGTCCCTTTCAGAGCAGGTCTCTCTGGTCCCACTGCTCACTGCAACCCACACTGACAACGCTGCTGCTGCCTGCCAGCCTTCAGAAGGAAAACCCAAAAGCTGCTGGCCACAAGCACAGTGAGAAGTGGCAGCCGAAGAGTGCAAAAGCTGTCTCAGTCTCCTCCCTTTACCCCACCCTTGAGAAACTCTTGTTGGCTATAAGTCAAGAGGCAGCAATTCCCTACTCATCTGTTCACCCTGATGACAATTCCCTGCCCACATGCTGAGGCTGAGCGGTCAGAAGGAGCAACTGAACGGCTGAAGAAACAGACTGGATCTCAACCTTCACATTTTTAATTACCTCATACCACAGGACATGAGGCTCCAGCACTGTCCCAAACAAATGCCACCCCTGGGGAACTTCTACAGCACTTGCAGAAGACGATACAGCACAGACATCCCTGGGGAGCCCTTTGCGAACACTCACGCCGGCTCCTACACGTGTTGCGGATATTCCAGCTCAAAACCTCTCAGCCTTTTAAACAGCCAAAGACCTACACTTTGAAAGCAAAAGGGTTCCTTAAAGCCACACTGCTAAGAAAACACTCTCTTCTTTTTTCCAGTTGACAGCAGTGTACTGGTACCACACGTGCATGACTTTCAACCAGCTCACAAAAGGAGCCATTTGTGAAGATACATTCGTTAGTACCAACCTACAGCAATTCGGTTAAGTGATTTTCCTCATATCCCATTGGCTTCCTCGTAGCAGAAGGCACTCTCTGATATTTTTATGTAAACCAACCAGGAAGCAAGCAGCAGAACACACTTTGTAGTCCCCGCCAATTCAGACAGGTTGAGCTATTAATCCTTCTTTGTGTGAACACAGAAACATTAAGTCTTGTTACCTTTGAGAACAGAAATGTGCTGGCGGCTTTCCCCGTCTGCCGAGTAGCTCCTGAATTCAATATCTTCTCCATCTTTCAATTCAACCTTATCATAACCATACCAGCCAAGGAGCTCATTCATAGTGTTTTCTGCAAAGTTCTGAAAGAGAAAAATTACCTACTTATTTATGAAATCAATAACCATTTGGAAGGAAGGGAGGACTGCATAAATCGAACCCTATCTGTGCTACACGAGGACGTGTCAGGTTTGGCCCACCTCCTCAAAGACTAATGTTCCTTTCATAAGTCAAGTGCATAAAGTGTAATGCATTTAAATCTCGGACTGGCACGTGTAATTATGACAGAGACTCACACATCTGTAATTTAAAGAAAATGAAAAGGAGAGTTATTTATGACTTTTGCTCCGGCATTCAATGTCAGAAGTATTTTCAAATGCATCCGTCACACCAACTTGTCTGTGTTGCCATAAAATATTTAAGACTCCAGCAAGAGAATAAAGGAAAACTAGGATTTTTTTATGTTTTTTTTCAACCAGCAGTTAATCAATCTTACTGTGCTACAGTCTTTTCAGCTGCAGCAGGTCACTGACACAATTACGGTTCCTTGAGGTGCCCATGAACCAAATCAAATAAAATCACAGCAGAGACATTTTTTCTCAGAGTTATAAGCCGTTGCATAGTCAAACCACTTAAAAACTCCTGAACATGAAAGCCTTTACCACAACGTTTCAGATAAATATCTCTTACATTTGTTTAAGGAAGCCTTTCTCAGTTTTGCCATATTTCTTTTCAAACCAATTTCCAAGCAGCCGTGTGGTTACGTTTTATGTTTGTATGGAAATGCAGAATATGGAACATGACTGTCATAACTCTCAAATTCTATTAAAAACACATCCTGGAGGTCATGTGGCAAAAATATTTCTGTAGAAAACGCTCATTACTGGCCTAGGCAATTTAGTGGAGCAAGTTAAGAAATCTGCAGCCAGGCAACAAAGCTTTCTGAAACCAAATAGTGCCATGGAGCTCTACAGCTTATGGATTTAGAAAATTACTGAAGGAAACCAGCTAATGAATTATTGTGATGGCAAAGATCAGTTTGAAGAAGTATGACAACTATAAAATGAAATTAAAAAGCCACACACGGAGCCTTTCAGTTTGGTCTCTGCAGTTTTAATTTCTTTTTTTTATCATCGCCCTCTTAAAGGCAATAAAGACTCTTAAAACAAATTCCTGACTTCATTTTCCTGTAAGGTCTTGACATCTAAAGTAATGCTCCTGATAAGCACCATCTTCTGGGACTCTGGCTACCAGCAAAGGAACAAGGGGAACACGACACCAATTCAAAACAAACGTAACGTGTCAAACGTGCAGGTTGCTAGATTTTTGCCTAGTAACTGCTCCAGCTTAATTTTTGAGTGGGAGCAAGTCTGGTGATAGAACACAGCAATTCTCCAGTCGTTCAAATAAATAAATAAAATGCATCAGATGGTAATTGCTTCCCAATTCACAGCTCCAGCAGGCACTCTGCCCCAGAGTGTCAGAGCTCTCCGCTGCTCCTGGCTCATTCATCACACCAGCTTGCATAGGTGTTCCTGTCACTCAAGGAGTGCTGCAAAGCAGCTATCAGAAATAAACACAAGCCATTTGTACTCTTCCAGGAGGGCCCTCTGTGCAATTGTGCTACAAACACACCATTTCAGGAAAAGAAAAACCCAACCAAAAAACCCAGAGCAGACCCTTGGAGCACCGATTTCCCTCTGTTTTTCCTCCCCCCTTTTCATTTTCCCTTGACCTCCTGCTGGAAATCTTGATTCCATGGCTGTCTTGTGCAGCCTGACCTGATGGAAAACACAGCACATCATTCCACCTCTACCTCTAGTGTCAGCATTTTAAGTACAACAGCCCATTACGTCTGAACTATGTCACTACTAGAGCCTGCAACAACGAGTACAACGCAGTGTAATGGGACTAACACCTACACTCATTTCTAGTATATATATTTAAACTGTCATTTGAATGAGGCAATGTTTTAAGTGTCTTAAATACTAGCAAAAATAAAAATAAAATAAAATAAAAAATAAAGGTTTGGTTTGGTTTTAGCTTTAAAAACTTCTCCCTCAGCACTGAACGTGCCAAAGCATTAACTCTGTCTTTAACCCAAGGGAACCCAACAACAACACGACCTGGAGACAGGGAGGGAAACTTCACCCCTGCAGCTCACCCAGAAGGACTTGATGGTGCCCATGGAGGCCCAAAGGCAAACTCTGCCAGCTTCCCTTGCTTTGCTAAATTCCAACCACGGAGACGCAGCCCCAGAGACTCATCCAGCAAGGTAGAGACCAATTGACAACATCTTCCTGACTTAAACCCCATGCAAACAAATTAATCGAGTAGCTCGAAATTCGCCTCCTGTGGATGCTTTGTGTTTTATTTGCACTGTTGATCAACTCAGGCAATGAGTAATTTCTAATTACTTATCAAGGAAGATGTAAGCAAGGCTGTATGTATGTTGATCTTTCCCTAATAATTCATACGTGTGTGTGTCTCCAGAATCTAGTCGACGTGATGCTTGGGTGTGTAATGGCATGAGGTTTAAGTAACTTTCGAGCCTCATTTTACCATCCATGATGAGTGATGCACAAAAATGAACAGTCACCATGACAAAAGAAAAGCATTTGATTTTGAAATTACTCCTAATAGAGATTTGAGTCTTAAAAAAATAAGAATCAATCACTGGGGTCTTTGCTGTTAACTTCAATAAGAGCAGAATGAGGTGACATATAGGTAAGCATCTTTTTTTAACACGTGATTTCTCAACAGGGATGCTTGGATTAAAAGAAAACAAAACAAAACAACAATTAAGCCATTCTCCTTCCCAATTTATCTTAGCTATTTAATGATGATCACTCTTAATCTATTCTCTCAGTGGCCAAGAGCCAGGGCTTCATTACACAGCACTTTGTGCACAGCAAACCTGGAGGATGATCCCATCCTTAACAAGCTGATGGTCAAACCTGGGCAATGTTTCCTTCCACACTACCTCTCATGTAGATGGTCAGCCACCAGGACACCACCTTCCCTCAGACTCCTGACTACAATACCCACTTACAGCCATACCCAACACTCTGTCAGGCAAGATGATGGTCACACAGGCCTTGTGCTTGCTGAAGCCATTGCCCTGAAGCTGAGCACTACTACTCCACTGTTTCCAAATGTTCTCCCTTCTTCCATGTCACTGCTAGGCCCAGTCTACGTGCATCCATGATACAATAACAAGATGGGATTTGTAAAAACCAGTGGGGTAGAAAGAGTCAAAAAAAGAAACAATGAGACAATATTTTTCTGTGGGAATGCAGGGAAAAGGGGCGGGGGG